TCGGTTCTTGGACCTCGTCTATTCTTGGTGTTCATTAACAATTTGGTGAGATCAATTGCTTCCGATTTCCTATTTTTCGCTGATGATATCAAGATATGGCGAAGAATCGGAGGACCGACGGACCACGAACGGCTCCAGTGCGATCTTAACACGGTGTCGAACTGGCCAGTTCAAAACGCCCTACCATTCAACGTAGACAAATGTCGCGTTGTACAATTACGCCATAGACATAACTACAACTATTTGCTTGGGAAAACGGATTGCAGACCAGCTCCCAGTGACGTAACATTGGTGTGCTCGTACAGAGCGACCTCAACTGTTCAAAACATGCTGAGGTAGCTGCGAAAAGAGGCAACCAGCACGTCGGCATGCTGCGAAGGACATTCGGGAGATTTAGCCCATCAATCTTCCCAATGATGCACAATTCCTACGTGCGCCCGCATGTTGAATACGCTATCCAAGCTTGACAACCTTGGTTGAAGCGCGATCTAGAGGCGTTAGAGGCACCACAACGAAGAGCAACAAAGAACGTGAATGGCTTGCACTATCACTCTTACCACCGAAGGCTGAAGTTGCTGGGAATTTTCAGCGGGCGCTATCGAAGGCTGCGCGGCGATCTTATATTAGCGTATCAGATACTGAGTGACCCCAACCACGTATGCTGCCATTTGCTGAAACTTGGCCCCAACACGCAGCTCAGGGGTAACTGCTTAAAATTGAAGTAACAATATAGCCGTCTAGAGTGTCGACGGAATTACTTTTCCCTTCGGGTTTGCCAACCCTGGAACCCACTCCCAGACTCAGTTGTATCCTCTCCTACCCTGGACGTTTTTAAAAAACGATTAGATGTTGCTCTTAGCTCCCAGCATTTTGTTACCTAAACTCCTCTATTATGGATTATGCCAATCATGGTTTTCAACAGGATTTATGTATCAAATGGACCAAAGTGAGCGACCATATTTTACTTTTCTCACGCCTTACGTCAACGATCACGGCACCCCAGTGTCTTTCTGAACGTTTACGCTCGATTTTTTTATTACATTTTACGCTGATGTAATTTATCGAAGTATTCATTTAGGCAGACGTTCTGTAGATGACTCAGGTATATTTTGATTTCATCATATTCACCCCAACCATCCTACGGGACGTGTCAAGCACTTGCTTTTATCTCGTGATAAATCATTGTTCATTCTCTTTGGGGATCCTCAACACACAAATTGATATCTTAGACAACCTCGCTGGTAGTGACTACAGGATGCTACGGTTTACCTCCGAAATGACAATGAGTACCAACCTAGACCCCGCTATACATCATACTATCCAAAGGATTAACTGAGCTGTTTTCATTCCCACCACTGGCGCCTACATTGTACTGGAACAGTTCTACTACCAGAACCATCGTCTCGTGACTACACTTGTCCCGCACGGTAAACTTGCCATTCTTGGTTCTAAGAATGCATATGACACTTGGAGTAACCCGAACACAAGAAAACTAATCAGGAAATTCCGAAAGACCAAAGACTTTTCACTAATATTACAGTTGCACAAACCCGTCGTCTGTATCAAGCGTTCACAAATGAAACGGATTGAAAAGGCGGAGAAGACTGCCTTGCGGATGGCATGCAAAGGAAAGGAACTGACAATCGCTCCGCCATAGAACTAACGATCGGGCGTCTTTGATCAAGGGACTGATCAATGAGGATGGTCACCACCTTAAAGACCCACCCGCATTTGTGTAGCGTTTAGTTCTTTTTTTGCTGCCCCCACGCACCTGGAAACTGATCCCATATCTTCTTGTACAGAACTCACAATAACTGGCGTCATATGCAATGCCGAGATTTTTCTTCCGACCATACAACAAGCTATGAAGTCATCAGAACCATTGCTCAAATTGGATTCCGATGGAATCTGTCCATTCGCCAGCAAATTTGCTGGACCTGACATCACTGCTTCTGCTGAACATGTACACTTTGTCCTTAGAATCTATCCATTTTCCGGATCAGTGGAAAACATCGCTTATTACCCCTCGTCATGAAGGGGGATCCAAACAGAACGTCGCTAAGTATCGGCCTATCCATCACACTCTTCATTGCTTGATTGCTCTAAAGTTTATTTAAAAATGGAATCATGAACTTTATTTATCATCTTAGACTGATTAGCCAATCCCAGCATGGGTTTCTCGATAAATGTTCCCGTATAACCTCAGTCGCACTGGCTGGATTACATCAGAATTCATTAACTTTACTTATGTATTTATTATGCTTCTGGATATGTAAAAAGCATTTGATCGTGTGCCTCGCAAGCTGCTACTGAAATGATCCAGACATTCGGGATCAGAGACTCACTACTCGGTTAGTTGACATCATACCTAAATGGGCGTTACTAGATTATCACTCCGAGTAACGATAACTCTTCCCCACGTCCAATCACTAATGGTGTTGTCCAAGGGAGTGCACTTGGTCCTTCCATTTTTCTACTCTATGTTAACGATAGCACGATGTTCAAACATGGCCGGCCATTTTTGTTCACTGATGATATTGCGATTGTTTATAAGTATCGACGAGACGAACTCCAGAGAAAAATGTTGCTGGTTCCAGAAGGCATCAAACCACTTGAGGAATGGTGCGACACATATGATAAAGTTCAGCTAGTAAATCATGCATCATGTCGCACGCATGTCTCGTCCCTAATGCACGCATCTGTGTACAACTGTCTAACTGTGATCTAGGCATACGATACTCCTCCAACTTCAATCTCTATGAGGAGGCTGAGTATCAGATTGCACGCGCCAAACGATCTGTGGCTAAAATGCCATAAAACCCACACAGTCCCTGTCAAAATCGAGCTTTTCCCAATACACCTCTTGTCCTTGAATACTGCAGCATTGTCTATGGGAACATGTGTATGCGCCACAGCAAAACTCTGGAATACCTGAAAAATGCATTCAATAAATTTTTGTTCAGTAAATCGTCCACCTTGAGCTATGTGGAGCGTTGCCAGCGGCTTAACATCTTTGGTTGCGACGACTGAAACATAGCCTGATGCTCTTACACAATCTCATAAACTAAATGACACTCCAATCGGTGCACATTGGAATTGCAACATAACTTCACTCGACAAAGTTCACAATAAGACTTGTAAACTAATTGTGTCAAGAACCAGGACAGCTATTCGATCCTCCTTAGACATGCTATTGTGTGGAACAGCGTACCATTCACTATCATGTCTTGTACGAATGCAAGATCATTCCGCATTCAACTTCTAACTTTCCTGGACCACAACTAGGTAATGACTGTGTTTTCATCGGGCAACTCAGGATAGTCCAATGAATATATACCCAGCGACAGCTACTTCACAAAACTCATCAAAAACTAAAGTCATGTGTTTCCGCATATTTTGATGACACACACACACTCCAGAACAAAGATCTAACTCATGCATGAGCATGATTGTTGCTGTACTATTGATCTGTTCCTATTTCAGGAACCGCCTTTAGCGTAGTCGAGAAATATACCATCTTCACTTTAAATGGGACGTTTTGCAACCCACATTAGACATTTTACCAATCAAATGGACGTTTATCTGTTTATAACGGCTATTTTGTGTTAAGGACAAATCCGGTAGAAGATTGCAATGTAAGAGCGCACACGGCAGTTGCTTCTCAACCGTTTATGTTGCTCCCTTCTTCCTGAGGTCTTGTTAATATTGTTACCACGCGTTTTTGGCCTTATGGATCTGACTTATTTAGATCATACGCACCTGCTTTGCATCACCGCGAAATAACATTTTTACGTTTCTCTTTATATCTTGATGCCTTTTGGTTGAAATATTCAGCAATGCGACTTTATCTTGTATTTATTTCAACTAAAACTACACAGCTGGTTTCTGTGGCACGGCCTGATCATGTGATCAGTGCGAATTCTGTGTAAATGTGCATACTGCACGTCACTCGATGCTCTTGTTGCTTCTTTGACTGATGTGTCTGCTGCTGTGCACTACGCTTCACCTGTCACTGAGAGAACCGTGAACAGCGCGTACCACCGGATGGTGGACCTACGATCAGACGATGCTAGGGCCCTTTCCATTGCTGATTCGCCACGTTTGGAGCTACCCGTTTGGGATCGACAAACCTGTTAAATAGCACAACCTACGCTTAGCTTGCAAGCACGGGACCATGCATGTATCTCGTTTCGCTTATTAATTAAATTATTCTATGGCCAACACACGAAATGTGCACCTATCCGGGATGATTATCCTTGACTGAGCATCGTCACGGTACTGTCATCTGACATCGCCCGCTCATAATGAGGCGAATTTTTCAAGTTGGTTCATCGCAATTAGATTCCAAGCCGCATAGGTAAGCTACCAATCCGGAAAAGCACCAGACGTGCGTTTCGCCCTATTGGGGCTCGTCATTGGTGCGCATCCATCGGTCCCCTACTGGGGATCGAACCCATGACTGCTAGAGGCTAACGCCAACTAGCCAGCAGCTTATGCCACTGAGCCATGGGGACGACAGCCGACCATTACGAATTGACACCTAACTGAGGCGAATTGTGCCTGCTGCCATCCGTTGGTCGAAAAGATTACGCGCGCGCCTTGCAGTCCGGAGGCCAACGATTCGATTTCACCTAGCGACAGACGACCTCGCGGTATACCAAACCGACGCGCCTCTGCTGGTGATGGTCGCTTGGTAGCAATGTATCGGTACACTGTGCTGGCGCACTGTTTTGCCTCTTATTGTTCAACTTTGCCGTTTTCCGCTTGCCTATGTTTTCTTCCTTCGATTGCTCAATTCGAATGAGAATGTGCCGATGGAACTATAAGCATCGCTCCGTAACTGCCAGTTGTACGTTTGAAGTATCTAGGTCCCCCAATGTGCAAACCATAACAGTAGTCAGAAAGATAGCCTAAGTTTTTTACACAATGCACTCCTCTTCGTTGTGCACAATAATTCCAGACGGTTTTCTATCACTCTAATAATCACTTTTTCTGCTCAGCTTGTTCTCGCCCATTAACATACCGACTCGGCAAATGCGAAGCAGAGAGGTCAAACAATTTTACTCCAGCGAGGGAGATTACAATCCACCAGTGAATGATGTTATCAGCCGTTTCAAAAGGCTCCGTTGGGGTGCATTCATCCATGCTCGTTCAGGTCGCCGTCGACACTTGTATCGGTAAGCTATGCAAAGATCCTGCCGCTCAGCGGCATTCTTTCTTGTCACTGTCGTGCCTGTTCCTCATACAACAATATTGCGAAGGCATTTCATACACTGCCTATCTGGTGCATTCCCAGCTGTAGCGTAAATTTATGCAGCATCACACTTAGCCTGCTGTAGTTACAAGAACTTCGACGATGCTCATCTCATTTGGATCCTACACTATAATTGCCATTTTCTCATATCTTCTACTTACCCGTCCTGTGCATTCGATAGGGTACCAGATAGTCTCCTTGGCAGCGACCATGAGGTGATACGTTCCAGTCTCCGCATTAAAATGGTCACTAAACTCGTTTCTACCCCACGATGTGCAGTCCACGAAATAACGAGAATGCTTCCAATATTCTTCCTTCTTACTAGTGTAGCAATTTTATTATCAATTTCATCAATTTTATCAATTTTATTATCATATCCATCGCTCTACAGCCCTCCGTGCTTCACAAGGTAATCTTATTTCTCATGTCTCCAAAGATGCCATCGAACGCTCAGTGATCCAGAAAACTAGAAAGCTATCTACAAGAATCAGAAAGACCAATGGCTTTTTACTGAAATTATAGCCGCACAAATTTATCACCGAAGTCCAACACGCGCAATTAACGCGTCAAAAATGTGAGGAACAGGTGCCCTTAAGAAAAAGCTACAAATTGGGGGAGCTTGTCAAAATACTTCGCTCTAAAGCCAGTAACCGCTGTCCATTGATTACTGAAATTGGTTCCTGTGAGGGCCACTTGCTTCTTGATTTAGCTGCCATCAGTAAAGCATTCAATGACTTCTTTACCACTTTCATAAGTCTCGAAGCTGTCCCTGTGCCTGCGTACACGGAGTTTGCAGTAATAAACGCCTTAGGTTAAGTGGATATTTTGTTAAGCGATATCCACTAAGTTATCAAGTCAATCAGGTCATCTTCCAATCTGATATCTGATGGAATTCCACCAACTACCATTAAACTAGGAAGTCTTGACATGCCACAGCTCCTGGTGGGCATGTTCGTCCTATCGCTGGAATCCAGCCACTTTCCAGATCAATGGAAGACCTCATCATGCCTCCGCACAAGGGAGCTCCCTGACAAAAGATTGCGAAATACCTGCGCGGGTATTTGAATAACTGGTCAGAAAGATGCTCGACTTTCCCAATTCTTTGAGTTTTCTACATAATTCGTAGCATGGTTTTCTTGATAAGCGATCGTCCACCACCTGTCAATTGCATTATCTGAACTACTTTTCAGTATGTATCGATTCCGAATGTACGGTAGTAATCCTACTCCCGGACTTACACCAAACATTCGACCGGGTAACTCACAAGCGCTTGTTACAAAAGTTGGAGGCCTTTGGGATCCAGGACTTATTACTAGGTTTGCTATCGTCATACATGAGTGATCGACACCAGGCAGTCAGTTTAGGTGACTATCGCTCTCCTCGCCCTGTCACTGTTGGTGTCAACCAAGGGTCCTTCACCACATCCATAAAACATGATCTGCCTTTTTGTTTGCCGACGATATCAGGATTGTCCAATAGCTTCGACGCTACAAACGGAACCTTACTGCTTATTCACGAAGACTTATATTCCCTTGAGACTTGGTGCCACACTCGGATAGTGAACCTTTCGACGAAGAAATAAAGCATGTCATCTGGCTGTACCATCCCCGAGGAATCTATTACACTACACAATGAGCATCTCACTATACAGCTGGGCACGCTTGGTCTCGGAATTAGGTACTCATCTGCCTTCCATTTCTCCAAACAGGCCCAATACCAAGCAGCACGTGCCAGCCAATCTACCTTTTATCTATCCAACAGAATCGACACAACCTATGATTGAGGTGAGCCTTTTAAGTTGCTTACCCGCGCCATCCTCGAGTACTGCAGCATAATATACGTTAATATGAGAAAGGGTGAAAGAATTGCTGTGGAACACCCTCAGAGGTCGCTTGCTAAACATCTGATTAGTAAACACTCTGCTATGAGTTATTGAGAACGTTGCAATGAACTTCAGCTCGAATCACTTTGGATTCGACGATTGAAGCACAACCTGTTGCTGCTTTAAAACTGTTATACAAGAAAACCGATTCCTATCGGCATACAGTCGAACTGCAACTTAGCTCAACTCGAGAGCTTGCATCCATGACTAGACACTAAAAATACCAAAAGCTAGAACACACGTTCGATTAAATTTCTTTCTGTTTAGATATACCTACCTATGGAATAAACTGCCACTCACACCTATTTCATGTGATAATGTGGCAACATCTAGTAACAAACTCATGAGTTACCTTGATCTGAATACAATAACGACTATATTCACATGGGAAAAATCCCAACTGTGGCCCAAAAACGTCCAAATACTTATGTTTCCAAACTCTGGCTTTCGCATCGACCATCCAATAAGACGTTATCAAATGAATCGCATGCCCCAATATTTCACATATGCATATCGGCCAATCAAGAGCATGGTTACTTTTGTACAAATTGATTTCCCGGATCATAAGAAATATGCGTATTTTTCTTATTTTTTTCTCTTTGATGAAAATCCGACAGTGTTGTGTGTTCGTGTTGTGGACCATGTACCTGTCAACCACTTCCGTCACTACATTACTTCCCCGATGCATTCGTCACTCCAACATCCCACATTCTCTTGCCTTTCCTGTGCAATCACTCCATCGTTTGCCTCAGCACGTCATCATGTATCCGTGTCACCAGCTGAGCCAGAGTATATCGACTTTGCAACACCGTTACTTTCTTTCGGCTGATCGCAGCGCAGCACATTTCCCCAATGGGTCCTAGTGTCCCTTCGATGAATTGTTCTATGTTCATCAATGTCAGTTTCAATCTTTACCATGCGGCAAAGGGCGATCAGTTAGAAGCTAACTGGGCACTTTTTGATCTACTGTTAACATCGATGTGTGTCTGCGGTTGTATCTGATTCCATTTGGTAGCCCGAATGGTATCCCACACTATCAACCGTACTAGTTGTGGCATATGGCTCATTCGCACGTACTCGCGTTTGATCACGTTTTGATTATCTTTTTTGTCTTTTTTTTATCAATGCAGCCGCACCGAGGCCGTACGAGAAAAACTTTCTGATCACCTACTTACTAACCGAGCTACTTCGTTCCTGCTGAACAACATGTTGAATGACCATTGGCGTAAGCCGCAATATTATCCTGATGACATTTATGAGCCGTATCATCAGCGTACCGGTGTTCCTTGGGGTTATGTCCTACGGAAACGGAAGTTTTTCCCATAAATGTTTCCCCACCCAACGTCACACACACACACGATTGTACCCATAACGTGAATTCTGAGCTCTTTCTATCCTAACTGCATTTTAACTTTCAAGTCTTGAATAATCTCCCAGCTTCGTGAAAACTTTCCCAATTAGCGCTCTCTCATCATTTGAGCCACCTGGTTGCTATACTGACTGTGCATCATGCCACTATTGCGGCTACTATCCTGGTTGTTTCGACAGACGAAGGCGGCGTTCAACCCAAGTCACTAAGCTCAAAACATCTCGTACACAAAGAATATACTTTACCCACGCTTATGCGACACATTTCGCAGCACAACACGGGGGTAGAAGCAACAATTCGATTCAAGTTGCTCCGATTATATAGGCTTTCATTACATGATGTGTAGTAAAGCAAAGGGCGCTTAAAAGTTATCGAACTGCACATCTCCGTGCCGTGTACTAATCAGTCATCAGGGGTTTGGATTTGCTAGTTCATTATCAGAATATAAATCTACCTTGTGGTGCAGACCGAGACCAAACAAACGCGGTACAATTACGTCAAGAATGGGTTATGCTCTAACCGCTTACCAACAGTAGAATTTCCCGTTATTTGGAATTTAATATCCGCCATTATCACTGCACGTTAGGGCCTAGAGTGGAACGCTATCGAATAAGAAGCCTGATTGATAGAACGCTTGATCTTAAATGTAACCGCATGAAAAGCACTCACCTTCAAGCACTTCGCAAACACCGTGTGGCTAGTTATAGCGTTGCGACATGGCATCATCGATAAAGCAACTTTCAATGCCTCGCGCCATAAGCAACTTCATCTTGCAGATGTGGTTGGTGCCATCTTTCTCTCTGCCACTGCGATGGAGAACACCCCCCACGACGCCTCCTTGGAGGAGCTATAGGTGGCTGACGCATCTCCACTCACACACACACACACACACACCACTAATCCTGTGTGAAACAGAGGGATTTGAAGCTTGGTGAATTACGAATGGAAACCAGCACTTGCTCGGGGACGCTCAGGTTTCTTCCGTATGGGGAATCATTAGTACCAGATGTACACGGGATTATGTCAGTAATAACCCATAATACGAGCCGCGTTAGCTCCAGCCTACCAAGCGCTTGATGTCTACCATATTCCACATTGGTTATTGCATTCGAGTAAAGAATTGGGTGTATTGTTCAACAATTATCCCCGGAGCCCAAGTACTCTACAACCTTTCCTCGCTTTGAAGTGCCGTTTGGAATCTCAGGGTTCAAGGCCCAACAACTTTCGTTGCAAGTGTCCACACGTTGGCTCATTTGTGTAAAGTAACTGACTAGCGATGTTCATGGTGTTGATACTACATGTTCTGTTCCACATAATAGTCTTAAGAGTGAGTGTACCTCTATTTGCCGTTGTTCATCTGTCATAGTGAACTTAGGTGCGCTTAAAAAGGCAGCTATTATCGTGGTTAGGGGCGGAAGTGCAAAGGTGCCTGTTAGAATTTGCCTTCTAAATGAAAAATCCTCTGGGTTGATCTAGAAGTAGGTAACTTCAACTGTAATGGTACGGCAGTGCTTTAGTATATTTCATTGAAACATTAGTACGCGCACCGAAACAATTGATTCGTAACGCAGCATGGCTGCAACCAAGATATATGATGACAGATTGTTAGTAAATAGCCTATCTCACCACATTCGCCTGTGGTTGAGCAGTTGGATCTTATACAAGCTACTTTTTGCAAATTTGCTAAAACAGAACACTTTTTCGAAAGCGGAACGTAGGACAGGACGCAGCGGGATTTACTAGAGGTATTATTCCTGTGATCGAGTCAAAGAGACCATCAGAGTGTGTGCTATTACGGCTTTCTAAGGCATATAGCAGACGGCACCTACAGCACACACTAACGATAAGACATTACTGTTTTAGTGTACCTCTTATGTGTAACTGTATTAATGGTAACTGTATTAATGAAATTTGCTTCCCTATTCCTATATCCGTCCCTATCTGTTGTTGATACCCACACTTCTGAGTTAATTTATGGCTGCCATTTAGGTTCACGTTTTAACGTTAACTAACCACCGACAGTCGTATTGCTTGCTTATATTTGTACGTGCGATTTTCCAAAACTAGAGGAATATGGCTGTTAGTCTTACATTCAATCCAAACTCATGCACGTTCGTAGTGTTATCGTCCATGAGGGTTACTGTTTCTCCATTCCGTTTGTGGTAGTCCATACACAAGTGTGAACAAATGCCCGCTCGCAACACTGCAGTACTGCAACTCGAAACCGGGACCCTTGGTATGTCAACTGATATCTCTTACTCGCAGCGGGCGGTGCTCGTCACCATGTGGAATGATTAAGTGGAAACCATTTAGAAGCACTTGTAAGCGCCACACTTCAGCTTGACAGACTGATCGCATTTTCATTTGCGTGACACCATTATCTGCTGTGTCAAAATCAACTGGGGCTCACCCGAATTACAGGTCGCGCTAACATCTATTCGTGTCTCGCTACGTTCATTCTTAACACATGGATCTTATTACATTTCATCTCGTGTAACACCGTGACTTATTGCGGGTTGCAATGTATCCCATCTCAAGTGTCTCTGTACACCCCCTTGTACTGCTGCCGCCTTCAGGTAAACGCACTGAGATTCAGACAAGTCATCAATCTTGATTCCGGAAAAACGGCAACACGATGTGACATCCAAATCGAAATGTTTTCGCACAGGTAGCATTCTAGGCACTGATGAATTGGTCGAGATATGCTAGCGGTCAGAACGAATGACCAGGGGGAAATAAATAGTAACACACGACGGATTGCCTGGTGGTTCTACATATCTGTTAATTCTCGCTCACCTCGGACAAGAGACGACCGGACCGGCTCTGGTTTACCTTCCGACACGGATAGCCTGCAGTTAATATAGGAGACGGCATTCACAGCACACACCAACGATAAGTCATCACTGTTCCGCTGTGCTTCTACTTCTTCGTTAAACTGAGCATAGCTATAATTCCCGTTCTTTCACCGCGGACTTCATCTTAGCTGAGCTTATAAAAATCAGTGGACTTAATCTCACCATTTCCCTGCTAACGTTTAAAGTTGCTTACTCCATCTCCGTCATTTTTTTGTGTCATCCTTATTCTATCGCGCATATAAGTTGCGCTTGAGTACAGTTTCACTCTAGAATGTTTAACCACTGACTTTGTGCGATGTAGTATCTTTATTGCACCTGCCTACAACGGATGAGCCACATCTAACCTACCTTTATTGGGCTTACTTAACTCGGTTGTATTTCGCGATGACTTCACGTGTTGCCCACAACACTGTTGTACTCAGCATGACCTATGCTATTCTTGCTACCTTTCCAAGTGGAGTCTAGTACGATGATATACCGAGACAGTGAGCTACGGCATCTTCCTCTTCGTATTATTATTCGGCCGCGATTCACATCATTATGTAAGCTCCATGGTATTACTCACCAGACTATGCTATCTACATTCTGCTCCTTGAAATCGATTTGTAGATTACATGACCCTAGCTTGACTAATTGCCCAATGCTAACCAGCACGACGCTTAGGGAGCCGGTGCACCAGTTCATCCATAAGCTCATTCGTATTTGACGTTCGCGCGGAGTTTCCGAGCGAATTATGTTGTTGTTACGGATAAATGCTAGGGTGGCAAATTATTGAGTATGTTTCCAGTTCGATGGATGCACTTGCATCAAAAGGTTACCAGCGCTTGGCCGCTTACAGTACGTGCAAAGTGTAAAGTTTGACATTTGGTACACAATGTTCCACGATTGTCCCTCATGTGACGACGTTGGACCACGCATCCGAAGAGAAATTTCCCTGGAAATTGTGTGGCAAGTGAATAACCCCGACAATTAACCGACTAGCGATTATCATGATGTCGACAGTTCATGTTCCGCTCTGCAGGTTAGTGATGTGAGTGAGTATAGTTATGTTTCCCGCTGTTCATCAGCCATACTGAATTTACCGGAGCTTATGAAAACGCAAGTACTAAGCGGGTTGAAGCCGGAAGCGCAGAAACGTCTACCAGAAGTTGAATTGGACATGGCCAATCTGTTGGATAGACGAAGTAAACTGTTAAACCCAACGGGAATGGTACGTCAGTGTCTTAGTATATTACATCGGAAAGGAATCGGCGCATAGCGACAATCGTTTTAGGAGCACCGAATGGCTGCACCCGAGAAGTACGATGCAGATGGTTACCAAATAGCTTATGGCCACAAGAGAGTACACAGCTGGATGTACAAACGTTTGGGTATTTGCATGACAGCCATGCGGGATTAGTTGGTGTAGTACTCTGGTAGTTATCGTGCCAACGAGGCCGCAAACAGCGAATATGTGGTATTGCCACCTGTCAATGCTAAAGGTTGCGCAATAATCATTTTTTGAGAATCTGCACATACCTCGGGCAGCAGATGACCGGACCGGTCGGCGATACGAAGAGCCTGAATTGAACACCCCATCGCATTCGCACGCTGTACGATCTCGTCCATCAGCTATGCAAACCAGACTGTACATATAGGCGGCAACACCTAAGTACACACTATTTTACCGTACCACTTGTTTGGTAATCATTCCACCTGCTGACCGTACTGATGGCAGTTGCTTCACTATTCCTATATCGGTTTCGTCCAAATATTGATGCCCAACATTTAAGGCTGTCATTTATGTTCACGTCTACATGCTAAAGAAAACACCAGCAGTCCGTAATAGGCACTTGTTCTCATGCCTGCGAAAGTAGCTGTTAGCCTGACCTCCAAACGAAACCCATACACGTCTATAGTACTGTTGTTCATGAGGTTTAATCTGTCTATCCAGTTTGTGGCTCTTCATACTTTAGTTTGAAAAAACGCATATGCATATGTTGTATTCGAACAGCCATTGGATACTTATGACGCAAATCCAAGTATATTTGTATACCGAATGAATTCGACGATGATACTCATACCGCTTTTGTACGACCAACTTGGTGCAGGGAAGCGGCACTGGGGAAAATCGAAATATAACAAGACATGAAGAAGTTGAGTTTACGTCGACCTAATGTTGATTTCAGGTGTTGCGAATCCGAGGCAAAGTTGATCGGTGCAAATTCCGTGAACTGATCAAGAGGGCGATTGCCCGAGTTCAGGAGAAGGCACTATTGCACGCGGAATAGAAGCACGATGCGTACGCTCCCATTCGATTTACTAATCCAGGCCAATAAGGCGGCATATGTGATACGTTTGCCTGCGTGATGAGCATTCTTAAATTTCAGTAGTAGATGTTGATTGAGCTCCCCGGTGTGACTGCGCCTGATGTGAATGTTGTCAAGGTACCTACACAAAAATTGCTCAGCTCGGTGAACAAACGAAAACCAGAAGGTACCTACCTGTCTAATACCCTCCACCTAGATTGCTGGCTCC